AGAATGTCCCCGCCTTCTCTTACAGCCTAGGTAATTTCATCAGTACCGCAGAAAGAGTGCGTCTTCCTGATGACTGCACTATTGGCTACATCATTGAAGGGCTCCTGGAGGTGAAGCTGCTGCACAGCCCGTTGTCCCCCCCTTCTGAGGGGACATCGAGAATAAAATAAAATAAAAATTACCAGCATAAGGACAGAAACAATATGATGGGAAGGGCTAGTGGAAGAGAAATGCCACCAAGGACAGATTTCTTTTGGTAAACAAGGAAAGATGTTGTTGAATTTCAGGATGGATAACTCCTGCTCAGAACTGAAGACATATGTGCAGAATCATTAGAGAAAAAGATGGATTAACCTAATATGTTTGCTATGTACACAACTATGCTGCTACTTGTAACTTCTCAGCCACCAAGATACTGATAAATACATTCCTTTGCTGTATATGTGGAAGTTCTAGGCATGCCTACTTGTGTTTGTGGTTCAGCTCACACCACAGGACAAAATGCTTGTATCTCACAAGAATAATAATCTCTCTGTCTTTGGCTCATAAACACGGTGTAAGAGTGGTCTGCTCAAACGTGAAAGATCATTGCATGTCAGTGAGTTCAGCAGAGAAGTAGTAATTACATTCACCTAATTATAAAAAAAGGCTGGAAATCAAAAGACAATCCCATTCCTCACACTCACTGAAAGCTTAATTGTGAACTGTCTTTACAAAACCACAGGAAAGAGCAAGCTAAACCGACACACACAGTGGCAGAGTTTTCATTCAGACCACGTAATTTAATTCTGAATTATATTAGATCAAAGGGGAACTGAATTAAAAAAAAAAAAATACCTGTTGGAATATGCAGAATGGAATTCCTCTTCTTAATAGCTCTGGAAGGATCACATTTTCATGAGGCTCCGTCAATCAGAAGAGAAAAACCAAGGAGCAAGGATAACACGAGGGTTAAGTGCACAGGCCTGGGGAATACCCTAACCAGCTTCCTTTTTCTATTACAAACCAGATGGGTTTGTGTTGATGGATCTATTAAAATGGAAAAACACTGAGACAGAGGCTCAGTGAGGCTCATATTCAAGACAGAGGATTTGTGTCTATGTATTTGTCCTCGATGTATACAACCATCTTGTATTTTGCCATCTCATTTAACAGCCTTGTCGTTACTTCTCTGTGCTTTGATTTTCTGATGCAAAGAATGATCTTATCCTAAATGGATGTCCATTTACTTTTAAACTTTTCTTTAGCTCAGGAAAAGGGACACCTCAAATATTTCCTCATGGTTTCTGTTCGAGAAGAAGGCAGCACAAAAGAAAAGGAAACAAAGTCCTAAATCCACAGAAAGATCAAACTCCTTCCTGATATAACCACAGTGAAATAATTTTAATTTTGCTGTGAGGAACACAGGATCAGTAACATGATGTTTCAGGAACCGCAAGTATCTTACTGTCCGTATGGCAGGACTTAAGATAGAGATTTGCTTTGCTGGTTTCCTTTTTCTTGCAGGGCCTGGAGACTAGATGTCTTCAGGGAGCTGTCCTGTTCCTTTCTAAATCAAGACGTAGTATGACTTTGGTTTCAGTGAGAGTTGGAGCAGACCGTACATGCACAGTGCTACCTAACAGTATGTTAGATGTGGATTATATATTCACTGGGAAAGCATACCTTCAATATATCCTCATTGCCTTCAACATATCCTCATTAATGTTTCCTTAACTGCTTTGCTGCTGCAGCCTATAATATCTTTACTTGTTTATTGTTTATTGTGCTCTTTAAAGAGGACAACACTAATTTTTGCATTTATAAACAAACTTCTATAAAATCTGAAAACTAAGAAATTGAGGTAGGTTATTTTTAAATTCCAGTTGTTTGCAAGCTGATAAACAGCCTCTGGCAGTGCCTAAATTCCCACACAGCAGCAGCAACTTGAAGCTATGTTAAACAATATAACCAAAAGTAAAACTGCTTCTGCTGCTTTTCATGGACTTGCCTATTTGATGCTGATCAAAAAATGACAAAAATTGCTCCTCAGATAAGAAAAGGTAGAAATAATGATGAATAAGTAGGACTCTAATGGTTCTATCTGTATTATTTTCAAGAACATTTTATCATCTATATAAGCTAAGGCGATACTAATATGAGCATTACATACACAGCAACATCATTTTAAGGTATTTAATGATATACATATTTCAGAGGGTACTCAAAGGACATACAGCACAGCATTGCTTGAGTTTTCATTAGATAAGCATTATCTCCTTAAGCTATCATCAGGCTGCATGTGTACAGTAACAGAGGCAAGAAAAGCTCTGTTTCGAGTTGGCCTCTGGCGTCCAAGGTGCCTGGGTCGCATTGGTGTGCTCTGGTCTGGGAAGCCTCTGCCAGATAGTGTGGCTCAGCACTGTGATACTCTGTTGTGTCCTTCATGCCCTTAAAACAAATAAGCTTTCCTCCGGTGCGCCAAGTGCCACCCTGCTCCCAGGCTCTGCTAGCACGAGTTCCCATCCATGAATACCCTCCCTACCTTTTGGGGATGTTACTTGGCCTTGCTTTTCCAACTGCATCTACCCTTTCCTAACACAGCAGTGTGAAACTCTGGTTAATGGTACAAATGAACAGAAGGTTTTCCATTCCCTGTGACCGCTCCAGCTAAGAAAAGCACTAAATTCAGAACGGAATGTGAAAGGTAGTTGGTCAGTTTGGGGCAAATGAGGCCGAGTAGGAAAAACAGGCTGGTTCTTCCCTTCTCCACACCCCGCCTTTTAAATCAGGATTAGACAGTACTTCGTAAATAAAAACTGTGTGAATTGCATCCCAGGTCACATCCTGTCTGCATCCTCGCAAGCAGTCATACTTTTGGAAAGATTTAGTGCGCACATTAAAGGATTTATGGAAACAGTCCAGAGAGCTACTAACAACTTGGAGCCAATTAGTCATTCAAGTCGTTTCTTTTTAAATACGACTCAGAGAAACACACTTAATTTTAGGATGCCAGGGCGGGGGGAGGGGGAGGAAGGCGAGGAGGG